AAGCTAAATGATCTTATCAAAATAGAATTATATTCTCCTCCTCTGCCAGAACAGATTTTCTCCTCTCAGATGTGGTTCTGCATGAATGGTCCTCCTCATCATTCATTTTACAAAGGAGACAGTTACTGAAGTCTCAGCACTGCCACGTTTCTGAGAGTCTATCTTCCACAAAACTCTTTGAGAAAGGATTTCTGTTGCATGAAAAATAGTGAATAGAAAATTAATTTTATTTTGGCTTGAAGGAGACCTTTCTGAACCTGTTCTGTATAGCAGCTATCTTTTCCTTGAGAAGCAAGGGAAAAATAATCTAGGATGCTGCTTTTCTGATTCATATCTGGAAATGAATACCAGCATCCACCACAAACAGCCCAGCTACCACCCCAAGGGAAATATGAGACCATGAATATGGAGGACTTTGCTTATAATGATTCCATTTCTCTTCAGTATAATGCATTTCCTTGTATTATACCAAGGTCTCAAGTCATTTCTGTTCTGGGTTACCGCTGTTTAGAGTGGGGACAAGGTAGAGGAAGCATTGGGTTGTGGTCTTCACCCTTGTGTGGCATTAGCTATGAGTGTTGCCATGCATTTTCCACATTGGGTTTGACTTCTAACCAAATACAACAAATGTCACTGGTGAGAATCCACTCCCTTGGCTGGACTATGCTTGCTAAAAACCAAGAGGCATGGGGGAACATAAATCACTGTTTTGGGTACTAGTTAGTGCACTCTTGATCTCAAGGGACAATGGTTTCCTCCTGGATGCTTCTGGGGTTCTGACAGGGAAGGGGTTTGCCTCAGCTCCTAACATCATCCCATGTGGGGCCCTAGAGTGTTTTGGCATGCTCCCCTGACTCCATATGGTAGCTGGGGACCAGAGTCTCATCCCTCCTATTCTTATCTGCTCCTGCATCAGGTTGGAGAAACCACATGAACGATCTACAGCTTTTATATGGGGATACTGGCTCCTTTTTCACTCCACAGATGTGTACTGAAAGGAAACAAAATCCATCACCTAATTTGCAGGAGGATTTTCCAGTAACAGAAGAGCCAGTGAACTCCATAAAGTCATGAGCCTCAGGACTGAATTCCTGTGCAGACTCTAGTGTCTAATAAAGGCTTGAACTAATACAGGGCTAAGCTTTCCTTCTTTGGGTGTATACTAGAGGATTTCCTCTCCCTGTTTATTTACACAATAATGTAGGTATATTTCAGGATTTCAAGCTCTCTGAAATTCACCAAGACAGCACAATGCTTTCAAAAATGGTTGGAGAAGGAGAACATCTACAGCAAAGCAAACACCTCAGTTCTGTAGGAACCCAAGCACAGAACAGAAACTGTTTTCTTTGGTGCTGTTTTTGACTATACACGCACTTATTTGGAGGAGCAGTTTATCCAGTGCAGTTTATATCTCACCTCTCTGCAAAGCCTGCAGCATTGACACCATAAGCCAGTTAGATGTCCCAGGTGCCTTGGAAGTCAATGGAAGAGGAATAGGTGCATTTGACATGATAATTCGTATAATGGTGGCAATCCTACTCAGAGAGAGAGTTGGACCTTCAGAGGTCTCTTCCCACCAGCATCCCCATGATGCTATGACTAGCTGAGATGAAGTCACTGATATCTGACAGCCAAAGTGAGATGAAACCTATCCTACCAAGTCTAAAATACCATTAAACCCTGGTCCATGGCTTTAGGAAGCCTTCAATTGCATTCTCTTGACAGATCTCCCCTTGGGGAAAAGACACCCTGGCACAAAACACATCAAGCATCCAGGGTCCCTGGAGGATGCAGTTTGGTAGAGCTCTATCGTGCAGCAGCAACAACTGCAAACCAGGCAAGAGTTGAGCGTCTGATTAGGATTTCACCTCTTGTTGAGCAAACAGTTTCTTAAAGAGTCTCATTAGCCAGGCAAACTGTTGATTATGTTAAAATTCTGGATGATGGTATCTTATACTTGGGGACATGTGTTACCAATCCAAGAGTGACCTGAATTTCTTAGCTGTTAAATAGGCTGTATGTGAGAGTCTGAGATGATTTAAAGAAGTCTGCCTGTGGATTACGCAAGCATGAAGAAATCATCAACAATGCTTGGCGCATACATAGATACCGTTATTCAAAATAATTAGTTATTTCAGCTTCTCAGTGCTGTTGTGATACATCCTACTTCTGTTTTTCTAACGTGAAAACTATTCTACAAAAAGATACAGAGATGTGTACAGACTAACACAGGTGCCAGTGTGAGAGCCAGGACAGAAATTTCTGTTTGATAAATCCATGTAAAGTAGAGCTGGGAGTCTTTTCTTACTGTTAATTTTTTTTCAGTTGAATAACTTATTTATCTCTATAAAGTATAGTCGGTTCAATGAAACATTCGCAATTTTATGTCAGAAGAAAGAAAAAAAAAAGTCAAAACATTTCATTTTGATATTTTTGAAACACTTTTTCATTTTAATGTGACAATTCATTTTGAAGCTTATCTAAGCGTACTTTTTATTATTATTATTATTATTTTATTTTTTAAATAAACTCCCCTTCACCCTTTTCCTAAAAGGAAACAAAATGTTTCATTTCAGGTTAGGGAAAACATACTAGTCAATTGAAAGTGAGCTTGGTTTCTCAGCAACATTAAAACTTTATTAAAAGTACATATCAATATTTTTCTTGTTGTGATTTCTTTTAAAGTTTCTCCAACAAAAAAATTAGAAATACGATTGTGCTTAAGCATTCACAGTCCCCTTCTCAAAGAAAATCAAATCCAAGATGTTCCAGCATGCAGATTTACAGGGAATTTTCTAATTTGCCCAAGTCTCAACCTCAGGTTTTGAGCTCTAAACTCGACTAACTGGAGATTAGAACTTGGAGAAGTTTCTCTTCTCCACCTCAATAGCATTGAATAAGCCTCAAATTTGAATAGGAAGTTGCAATTAATAATGTCGGGGAGGAATGAAATTGGAGTCAGCATATTTTCTAGTCATAAAATAAATGAACTTTTTCTGTGTTTATGTTATATGCATAATACAGCAGGAAGCAAAGATCAAAGCCATGTTTATAAAGAACTTGGCAAGTTGCACGCTCAGAGGAAGCAAATGGATTCACAGGAGAAGCTTAAGAAAGAGGTTTGGACTTTTTGTTGGTGTAAATCAGTATATTGCCCTTGACTCCAGTGCAAGGGCAGTGATTTACCTGAGTGGAGGAGCTGGCTCAAGAACTTCAAGGGAGGACATTTGTGAAGAAACAAAATAAAGTATTTGCCTACGGTTCATGCTTTAGTCTTAAGTACTTAGAATAACTCCCAATTCAAATTCCCAGCTTCATTAGCTATAGGACAGAAAGTCAACAGTAAGATTTAGAGCAAGCTCACGTCTTTCTGAGGGGCCCAAGAGACAAGAACTGGGTTGGGGCTGTGGGCAAAAGCCCTAAAGAGATCAAAGAACCTGTCCAAAGAGATCAGCCTTCAAATACTGGCATCTCCAAGCTCCTAAAGTGCTTTGCAGGCTACAGAATCCCCCTAAAACAATGGAGCATAGAAAAGCAAACTGAGGCACAGTCAACATGGACAAGGCAGCAGGGTCTTAGAGCAAGAGAAGCTCCGAGCAGCCCTGCAGCTCCTTGTCTCAAATCACACCATCCACTTCCATGATCACGTAAGGCAAAACTGCCAGCAACAGCAATAGTTTAACCCCTACAGAAAGCTAAAACACTCACCAAATTCCATCCTCATCCAGACAGAGGCAGCAAGCACAGAACAGCAGCATGAGGAAATGAGACCTTTCACAGTCAACCTACCACCCTAGGGAGACCAGAGCTATCAAGGCACCACTCGTCCCTCAGCTGAATTGGCCCACCTGAGGATCAGTTCCTAATTGGGTGGCCTCAGTTAGGTGCCTAACAGCCCAGGGGAGAGAGCTGAAGTGCTAGAAGGTGTTGGCTCTAAATGATCCCCTTGGCCACCTTGCTTGTTTCTGTTCGCTTGAGAGGGAGCCTTGGGCTAAGAGGAGCTTTACAAAATCCCAGGAAAAAATGCAGACCTGGCTAAAACATTATGGGTTATCCATGCACAACAACAAAGGTCCTGGGTGGTTCCGGGGACGCACTGGTCCCACCCAGCAGACAGAGGGACAGCCGATGTGGCAGCTCCCCCAATTTGGGGAGCTCTGCCCAAAGGGCAGCACCTTCCATGGGCAGTTATTTGAACTTCTCCTTTGTGCCCCACCAGGCTCAGCTACATCGCTCCACAGGGTTAACCCCGTCTCTGGGGTGGACACACAAAGTTTTAATCACTTGCTCAGACTTACAGGAGATCCCGCGTCTGGCCTGGCCGAGCGAGATGGGGCAGGAGCAGCTGCTCCCCGCTGTGTTTTGCAGAGTGGCACTGGGCAATCACCCAGGACCATCCGGCCAGCATAGACAAGAGCTGGTCCTGCTCCAGCTCCCTGCACCGCATCAGCATCCCGGGAAGTCAACAAAGACAGGGAAGGCTGGGCCCCCACCCCAGCCAGATTGAAAGGGACACTTCCTCACCAGACGTGCTTTCCTCCTCCTCCTCTTCCTCCTCCACGCAGCACAAACCAGATCCCTAACCACAGGTTGGAGGGCGATGGAGATTCCCAAATTGGGAGGAAAGGGAGGAAGGGAGACAGGGGCTGCAAAGTTTTTCAGAGATCTCTGTCATAATTACAGCCTGTTTGAGACAACTCTGCTCCTTTCCCCATTCTTAACTTCACTAATTAAATTGTGGAATAAATAATTAATCAAACCAATGACTGTTGCTATTTTATTCAACTGCTGTTTATTTTGAGTGGTTGGGAGAACCTGATTAATAAACAGTGAATAAGATCTAATTAATTTAATCAGTCTCTTGCCGTCTTGTTCACCTATCTGTCATCTGTCACTTGACTCCAGGCACGAATCGTGTCCAGAAAGTTTGTTCCCAGGAGCAGCTTCCCAAGGGCACAGCCACAGGCAAGGAGATTGGGAAAAGCAATGGAGTCACTTACCAAAAGGCAGGACAAAGAAGAAGGGGAACCAGCAGAGGATGAAAACGCCCACAACGATGGCTAGAGTCTTGGCCGCTTTCTTCTCACGGGAGAACTTGAGGAGCCGCACGGAGAGGGAGCTCCTGAAGTTGTGCCCCTTGCTCCGAGTGCTGGAGAGAGGCTCCTCCAGCACACTCCGGCAGTGGATGCGCAGCACCACCTCCATGGATTTATTCCTCTCCTTCTTGACTCCTGCCTCCAAGCTCCGGGTGGTCCGCCTGGCCACCACATAGATCCTGAAGTACATCACCAGGATGACCATAAGGGGCAGGTAGAAGGAGAACAGGGAAGAGAAGAGAGCATAGCCTGGCTCCTCTGTGATGCTACAGATGCTTTCGTCTGGCGGTGGGGGCTCCTTCCACCCCAGCAGTGGCCCAATGGAGATGACCATAGAGGAGAGCCAGACCACCACCAGGATGACCCCAGCCTTCCTCTCTGTCATGATGGTGGGGTACTTGAGAGAGTACTTGACGCCGATGTACCTGTCCACGGAGATGATGCACAGGCTCATGATAGAGGCAGAGCAGCAGAGCACATCCACTGCTGCCCAGATGTTGCAGAAGATGCGCCCGAACACCCAGAAGCCCAGCACCTCCAGGGTGGCTGAGAAGGGCAGCACCGTGGTGCTGAGCAGCAGGTCGGCGATGGCCAGGTTCACGATGAAGTAGTTGGTGACTGTCTGCAAGTGCCGGTTGCAAGCCACAGAGAGGATGACCAGGATGTTGCCCACAATGGCCGAGAGGATGAAGGCGGCCAGGAACACCCCGACACCCACCGCCTGAGCATCCAAGACGAAAGTCAGCGTGGTGCCATTGCCCCCGGCGGCCTCCTCTCCGTGCAGCCCCCAGGACCTGTTGGCGCCGCCGTGCCCCGTCCCGTTCCAACTCAAGCTGGCATTGCTCAGCTCGGGGAAAGTCATTGTAGAGCGAGTCCCGGCTCCATGGAGGGCGACGAGGCGTCCGCGGCGAAAGCGATGCCGAGGGGCAGCCTCCCCGGCATGATCCCCGCTGCCTCCCTCCGGCGTCCCGCTCCTCCTGGGCAAGGAGAGGAGGGGGAAAAAGGGTGTCCCCCTCGCCGGCCACCACCAACCACCCACCCGCCCCCGCTCCCCTCTCCCCTCACTTGGCTTCACCAGG